GGGGCGTACCGAAACCAGGGGAAATTATTTGACATGTATATTTATTCGTTCGTTAAAAATTGTATGAAATATTTCTTCTGTTCCAAGGGCTGAGGTAAGCACGAAAAATTGACAAATACACATGACCTAGAGTCTCTGATCACAGGGAGTCACATGTGAGCACATCATCCATCCTGCCTGTTTCTGTCACACAATGGGGGTATTTGTGTCAACTTTTTGGAAGATAAGTAAGAGTCGTTCTGTAAAAGCGGGGAGAAGAGGTATAGAGTTCCTTCACATTAACTTTGCATCCAGAACATATCAAGATAGAGTATATAAAAGGCAGATTACGCTTATCTGCTTAAGTAGGCATTGCGAATATAACTTTGAAGTTTCCCGGGAAGATGTGATCCTGGAAGATTTAGAACAGTACGCATTTTTATTCACTCTTTATTTCTTGTCTCCCAAATAGATATGTATTCTATTCTCCTCCTACAGCAAAAATTTCCTTTATGCCTTAAAAATAAGAATTCATTGAAAAGAAGCACCTTTTGTGCGCGGTATTTATAATACAGTTCTGGCTTAGAGCAATCATATTGTTTGAAAAATGAAGTGCGCTGAGAAGACGTCTATGTGCCAACCATGACTAACTACATACCCAGGTAACACGGCCGTGCGTTCGTTCATTTTGTACTTAAGGAGTGCACCCTGACATTTGAAATCTTAGTACTCTTTATTCTCCCTCTTCAACGCAAAATAATTGGCATTGTTAAACATCGCTACGAATTTGAAATAGTTTTATTAGTTCTTTTCCTATTCATTTTTTTTCTCTTGAACTTGACTGTGACCTTCAACAAACACTACTTTCAATCAGATACTCAAAGAGGAGTGAGTCAAGTACTTTGGGAGATATTTTAACTGTTTCTGATTAAATGCACGATTGAATTTAGAACTATTCTAAAAAGTACATTGTTTCAACCCAGTTGAGAATTCCATCCATGTACTGAGTACGTTCTAAAGAGAGGAAAATGGGTACAGTGCTCCCCAAAAGGACATAGCATATATACTTTGAGCGTGTACCTCGTAGATAAACTGCCTCTCCTATTACTTAGGGAATGAAAATTCAACCAGACAGCAAAGCAGCTTCTAATACACGCTCCCAAAGCCACCAGGGCACTTCCCCTGCCTCCCATTCTGAAAACTTCTCTACAGTGTTCCGTGGCAATTATAGATGGTTTTCAATTGTTTGAAAATCTTTGCAATGGAATCATAAATTTGGTGATGAACCTTAAATTTTTACTAAACATGTCAAATTCTCCCCCATTATGTTTACTGATCTTCCTATCTGGTTAGGACTTGGTTCTTCCCACTGGAAGGCAGCTAGAAAGACTGACAAAGAGAGTAAATCCTAGAAGCATCGTTTAGAAAGGCAGAGCCAGGCTACTGAATAGCAAGAAGTTACGCGCGCCTACCAAGGGCAAGATGGCGTTTGAAGGCAGAGCGCGAGAACACAGTCTGCTCACCTAAGGAACTGCCCGGCAAGTGCGGTGGCGTAGGCAGGCAAACGGTTCAATAAAGGGAGCACTGTGGCACAGGGGACCAGAAGGAGGTGCGGTAGGAGTCCGCAGAAGGAAGAACTAGCGCAGGGGTGGCGAAAGGGAGCAAAGTAGCTGCTTCTTGAAGAAAAGGTGGGGTTTTCATAAACAAGGGGCTTTATCTTGTTCACTTACAACAACGTCCTGGAGACTCTGTCATGGTGCCCTGGGGGGAGGGGGGAGGCAGAAGCAAGGACATTGGCCGGGAAGCTTCTCCGATGACCCAGGTGGAGTCTGAAGGGCGCTGCTCGGACTGCAGCCTCAGGTGGGGACAGGAGGGGTGGGATTCTGGATGCATCTGTGAGGTAGTTGGAGCTGTCGGGTCTTGTTGATGGATCGAAAAATAAGATGTGAGAGAAAGGAAGGAGGTAAGACTTGGGGCTCCACCAGCGAGCGGGGAGCGCAGAGGCGGCATAGCAGACGGGGAAGCAGGGCCTGCGCTTGGCTGTGTTCAGCGGGACGTGCAGAGGGGACATCTGAGCGGGGCGGGCAGCTGCCTGTCCGCGCCCGGAGCGCACGGCCGCCGTCGGACAGTAGAGAGGACTCGGAGAGGCCGGCCGCAGTGAAACCAGAGAAGAGGCCACGGCAAGATGGCCAGGCACACGATACTGAGGGCCCGGTGAGGAGGCCTAGGCCGAGGGGACGGGGAAGGAGCGCGGAGCTGAGAGGGGGAGTGAGAGAGAGAAGGCGCGCCAAGGAAGCGGGGAGAGCCTGGCCGCCGGCCGCCGCCGCCCACAGGCCCGCTGGGCCGGGCACGGGTGTTCACGTGCCCTGCACATCTGCTGGCCCCACCTCCGCCGGGGACCGGAGTTGTCTTCGACTCCGCCCGGGCTCCCTCAGAGACCCAGGGGCAGAAGGGGCACCCAGGCGCCCGTGGGGCTGAGCTCCCAGAGACAGGCCTCCACGCTGGCTTTTCCGGGGACCTCAGGAACCACCCTTCAAGAGCTGTGGAGGCCCACGTGCCTCTTCAAGTCACAGAGAGAAGGCGCGTCCTCTCTCTGGGATGCGCTCAGAGACTCAGAGGGGCAAAGCAGCCTGGCGCTCGGAGCTCCACGGGGATTCCTTCCGTTCTAAGCTCTACGCTTCTCCCTCCCTCCCTCTCTCCCTCCCTCTCTCTCTCCCTCTCTCTCTCTCCCCCTCCCTCACTCCTTCCCCCTTTGTCAAGGATTTCCCCCAGTACCAGGAACCCGCGTAAGAGCATGGAGACCTCCACTCTGAGCAGAGCCCCCATCGCTCACCCTGGAGTTCCCTTGGCCTGACTCCTGCTCTGGTGCTTAAATCTCTGGGGGACAGGGGAGGTGTCAAGTTTCCAGTGTCCCCAGGGGGTCTCCTCAGCCTGCTTTTGAAGAGAGGAAGCACAGGACAGAACCACAGGGGAGAGGTGCTGGCCATGTTTGTCCCTTTCTAGCGTCAGGTCCTCGAACGCACGTGACTGCGTGAGGCGCTCAGCAGCCCCGAACCGCATCCCGAAGCCCCGGCCGGAATGGCCTATGCACAACACCTGCGGAGCATGTCTTACCCCCTTCCAGTAAGGCCGGGGCTTCCCTACCCCCTGCCCCCCAACACGGCACCAAGAAAGCGCATTAAAAACAGAATAAAAGTATCTCAGGAAAAAGAAAATGAATCTAAGATATTCGCTGATACTGACAACTCACTTTATAAGATACAAAAGTGACTCAATTCCAAGCCAAAGACATGTGAGAGCAAGATTAATGTTTTACAGCCTCTAGCATTTTGTTTGCGGCATTAGCAAAACCAAGTACCCACCTGCCACTAATTTCTTAGGCATTCAAAGTCCACTGCATTTCTGGGACGGATGGTTGGTGTTGGGCAGGGGGGTGTGTGTGCGTCTAAGGACCCAAAAACATAGCTGAAAAGTTAACTAAAGCGCCGAGAGTGAGCACAGGAATCCAAAGCGTGCCGACTATGTAAAACTCCAGAGTCCCAGAAAGCTCCTGCTGCCCCGCTTCCTTAGTTTATAAATTAAATAATCGTGTACGTGGCTAAAATAGCAACTGATGCCTTGTAAACATACAGTTTATTACATACACGCTAAAAACATAGCTCGTATGATTTAAATCTGAAGTCGGGATTTTGCAGAAGCAGCCTACTTGGTCCTCCAGCCAGTCGACGAATCCCTCACTTTTTTTTTCTGATATGGACTAAAATGTGCTTTCTCTTCCTCCAGAGAGAGGCTAGTTCTTCCCCGAGGGGTTTTCTGCCACCAACCGTAACAGGTGGTGCCAGGGTGTTTTGATCCCTTAAAAGGATGGCCGGGCAGAAAACGCACATTATCTGTCTTGAATGTGTTCAAAATACATGGCTTAACTCTAAATTTGAAAAATGGGTCTTCCAGGAGGCCTGCATGTCACCAAAGTACAGGACCAAAAGGTACAGACGTTTCAACGCTTTTATTGAAATGTTTGTATGGAACACACAAAATAGTCTCTGGCCGTCCGGAACTGGACAAAGCACACCCACAGCTGACATCATTACAAATGACCCCTCAGGTCACTGGGGCCTTGCCTGAAACACTAAGTAGAGGAGAAAAAGGAGGAAGGACCACTTGGGAGAGAGACCCCTCATGGCGCAGCAGCAGTTCCTGCTGTCAGGTGGTATTAGGCTGTTTGCAGAGGGTGTTAAAGTCCACTCGGTAGGGTAAGAACCCCCCCCCCCCAGGAATGCTTCCACTTGGAGGGGGAGCGCGCGAGATGCGCGTGGTGGGAGGGCGCAACCTGTATCACCCCGTGGTTATGCATTTTTATGGCCAGCTTTCTTTCAGATAGTTGTAGGGGTCCTCGCACCCCTTGCTGTTAAGTAAGGATAGACGGAAAGAGCGCCCAAAGACCCTTAACCCCAGCTCTCCAGGAGGTGCGACGTGGACACCTTCGCGTTCCCTGCGGTGCGAATCGAGCCGCAAGCAACACAGATCTCATTGGATTCACGCTGAGCTCACGCCAGCCCCACGAGCGCGAGCAGAGCGCAGCGCTGCCTGCGCGGCGTCCGACTCACCTGCGTCTGTCATCCACCGCCTCACCCTGCCCACAGCGACCCCTGGGAAATCCTCCCCCCTCACCTCTCGGGATTCCTTTACACCCAGAGAAAAGCCCCCTTTTCTCTCAGGGAAACTGATTCCAATTTCTTTCTCACCAGCGGCCGCAAAGAGCACTCGCGCAGAGCACTCGCTCGCGCGTCCGCGGCCGGGTTTCCCTCCCATTCCCAGTTCCACGCCCCCTAAGGAAAACGCCTAGAACGCTCAGTCCCCGCTCTCCCACCCCCCACCCCGCATGACTCCTAAGGGACCTCAGAAACGCGCTCCGATGGAGCCTCGTCTGGGCTGGAGGCTCAAGCACCCCTCTTGCCCCCGGCGTCTCCGAGGCCCTGGCCCCGGAGCGGCCTTCCGCCTGGCCGGCCCCTCGAACTCACCAAGAGGAGGTTGTGCGCCACCAGGTACCCGAGCCGCGCGCCGCCGCGGACGCCGGGGGCCAGGCGCCCGGTGGCGTAGCCGTGCCAGGCCACCACGTAGGGGTTGTCGATGGTGATCCAGTACTTGACCTGGCCGCCGAAGTGGCGGAAGCAGAGCTCGGCGTAATCCCTGAAGTGGTCGGCCACCGCGCGGTCGGCCCAGCCTCCGTAGGCGTCCTGCAGGCGCTGGGGCAGGTCCCAGTGATACAGGGTGACCACAGGCTGCACGCCCAGCTCCCGCAGCCGCTCCAGCAGGCGTCGGTAGTAGCGCAGCCCCTCGCGGTTGGGGGCGCCTGCGCTGCCATTGGGGAGCACCCGCGCCCACGAGATGGAGAAGCGGTAGTGGGTGACCCCGAGCTCACGCAGCCCCTCCGTGTCTCGGAAGACGTTGTTGTAGCTGTCACTGGCCACGTCCCCGGTGTCGGCAGGCGGGGACGGCGACAGGGCGCCCGTCGGCAGGCCGGCTCCCTGGGGGTCGCCCGGGCGCGCCGGGGGACGGTGGGTGAACGTGTCCCAGATGGACGCGCCCTTGCCGTGCTGCCGCCAGCCGCCCTCCGTCTGGTAGGCGGCGGTGCCCACGCCCCAGAAGAAGCCGTCGGGGAAGGTGTCGTGGAGGAGGCCCGCGGCCTCGGGGGCCGGAGGGCGCGCGAAGCGGTTCCAGACCTGCGCGCCGTCCCCAGGCTCCGCGCGCAGGCGGCGGCCGCCCAGGGCCCACAGGAGCAGCAGCGGCGGCAGAAGCCGCGACCGCAGGCGGCGCGGCGGGGCGCAGGCCGGCATGCTGCGCGGATCGGGGCGCCGGGGCCCCGCGCCGCCCCTTTATGCCCGCGCCCCGCCGCACCGCCCGCCCCCCGCCGGCGCACCCACCCCCGCTTTCCCCCGCGGGCCCGGCTGGCAATAATTACCTGCGAGCTGGCGCCTGCCCCGCCCTGCGATCGGGGGACGAGGGCGCAAACGGCGAGCGGATGCCAGGGAAGGGGGCGCGACAGCCGGGGCGGGGTAGCAAGCGCCGCTCCCGGACGTCGGAGAAAAGGCACCTGTTCCTCGCTGCGCCCAGGAGCCGCGGAGGATGTTCGCGCGACGCAAGTTCTCCGCGCGCCGCCTTCCCTTCCCCGTCCGTGCGCGCTCCGGGGAGACGCCGCGGAGCCGGCGTTGGCCCGGGAGGGCAGGAGGCCGCGCAACTTTCCCCGAGTCCGGCGCGGGGTCTCTGGCAGCCCCGCGGGTCCGCTGGCCCGGAGACACCTGCTCGCTCTTTTCTACCCCTGGGAGGCCAAGGGAAGCTGTAGATTGACGTGACTCGAGCCGATGAGGAATGGGCTGGAGTCCTAGTGGGGTGGCCAGGCGGGGAGGCAGGTGGGCGCGCCGGGCGCTGCCGGAGAGGGAATGGATGTGACGGCCATCCTCTGGCGCGGGGCTGGACGGCGGCCCTCCGGGCCCCAGTCCTGGGGTCCTGGGAGGGGGACACGGGCGTCGCATCTTGTCTTGGGACACTCCCTCTTACTCATGGCGTTTGCCCATTTCAAACCAGTACTGTTTTCTTTCATTAGATCTTGCAGGATTACTTGGCGAGTTTCGAATAACAGTTGTTGATTATTCTTCTTAAAAAAAAAAAAGAAAAAAAAATAAAGGAGAGAAAACACGAAACACCCGTGTTTCTGGCCTTAGCCCAAGTCTCTGCTCCCTCTGCAACAAAATAGGGACGTGTTTCCAGTCGTCCAGGGGCAGGAGTTGTGGAGGCACAATGTCCGTGTGTGTGTCTGAAGCCTGGAATCCCCCTTTGTGGCCTGGGCCGGTCCCAGCCTCGGGGTCCTCATGGGTCCCTCGGAGGTGGCTGAGTCAGCCCCCCACCTCAGAGGCTTGAGAAGCTGCAATGAAGCAGTGGGCGCCCAGGTGACTCGGAGGTGGGGAGCCCAAACTCAAGATCTTGCTGGCAATACCCTCACCTCGGGTTCCAGGACCCCAGGCGCCTGTACCTGCGTCCAGTGACCAGGAGCCCCACAGAGGTACACCTGTTCTCGTCTAGCGACCACCTCTGGGCTGTTTCCTACAAACTTAAAATCAGCCAAGTTTTAAATGTTACCGATGAAGGTCCTTCTTTTAATTCCCTTAAAATACAAGCACCAGAAATTCATCCCGGGATTTTATTAAATATTCCCAACGGCAGCTAGCATGTGTTGTCTTAATTAGTAATGTCAAGCCAGCGGACCGGAACAAGACTTACTGCTATTGTTACATGTGGCATTTATGTGTTTCAGGGAATATTAAAAAAGAGCAATGACACGTCAGCGATGAAAAGAATTACACCACCCAGGTGCACAGTCCTGCAGCTGAATTAAAAAGCTCCCGGGTCTGCACACGGGACCCTATTTCCTTCTGGGAGCTGGAGAGCGGAGCGTTTGCTGGGCTGCAGCTTAAGCTTCTGTTAGAAATGCTTCATGGGTCCCCTGGAAAACCCCATAGCCAAGGCTACGTGACCACTGCTTGTCGTCAGGGGGCCTGTTTGCTCCGGGCAGACTGTATCTATTGCTGCTTTTATTTAACCAACAGTAAAAAAAAAAAAAAAAAAAAAAAAGGTTTTTTAGAACAGTGATTACGAAGAAGTGGACTAAATGTTTCACATTGAAAGTTCATGTCTCTCTGGTGGAGGGGGGGTGTAAAGCCCAAATCGCCCCTAAGTTAGAACATCAGTCACCTTAGCGTTTGCAGAAATGCTCCCGGGTGATAGGTAATTTAACCCAATGATAAAGATGACATGATGGGTAAACGTTCTCTCCAGAACGCGGTGTTTATCCAGGTTCTGGGTTCCTGATCGGGGACTAGCTGCGCCATTGCGCCTCATTTGTTCTGCTTTATTTGGGTTCTTACCATGAGTGCCACCTTTGAACACCTGAAATACGGCTTCCGTTTCTGCTCTGTTCTCCCACGAGTAGGAGTTTTGTTTCTCATTGTGTTTTGAATATAAAGATGAAACTAGTGGTGCCTTGGAGAAAAGAAAAGTTTTAAATTCACCTCCTGGCTCTTGCCACGGTGATGATTTTCAACAACCTAAACGTGGCCACCAAGCTGACACTTCCCTTCATCAGTCCCTTCGGCCCAGCTCTTTCCCTGTGTGTCCCTGGGACCCCGGAGCCCTTCCTGGCCACGGTCACAGAAGGCAGCTCGCGGGCCCACGAGGGCCCGATCACAGCACCAGCCTCACGAGATCTCGGCTCACCAGCCACGGACACGCAGCCTCCTCGCCGGGGGGTTCCCAGTGTGGTCCCCGACACAGCGACACCACGCGCAACGCCACCCGGAGAAGCCTCAGACTTCAAAACACAGACGATAACTGATAACCGCGGGCCTCAAAGATGGCCCCGGATTAGAGAGCTGGGACAGAGGCAGGGACGGGAAGTAAGTTCTTTAGTTTATGATGTTCAGCACAAACAAATGACACACATGAGAGCCGCGAGGGGAATTCAGGGGAAGGAGAGGCTATGTCCTTGCCAGCAGCCTGGAAAGGTCTCACAGGCGGACATTGCAGCTGCGGGTGAGAGACATGTGCGAGGAGGCCGAAAGCAAAGAGAAGAGGGAGGCCAAACACAGAGGAAAGGGTGTTTGCAGCCCATGCGTGGTAAAATAAGTAGAATAGGATAGAATAAAATAAAATAAAAATCTACTCGTGCAAGGGAAAGGCGGACTGAGAAGGTAGGGAGGAGCCAGCCCACACGGAGTCTTTAATGCTGGGGTTTTCCACTGCCTCACATCCGAGCCGCTCCCTGCATTGACCCCTTAGCCGCACGCTTGTGTGGTGCCCAGCACGAGCCTCGGCACTGGGCGGGCAGCAGCCACCGGCACAGGCCAGGAGCCCCGCCTGCCCTCACCCCCCGTCCCTCCCCCCCGCCCCTTGCTCTCCTCTAGCCACACTGGCCTCCCGGTCATCCTGGGAACAAGCCACACTGGCTCCCAGCCTCCGGGCCTTGGACTGGCGCCCAGCTCTCTCTGGAATGTTCCTCACGGCACAGCCTGCGTCTCCTCGGTCAGGCCTTAGAGCAAAAGCCGCGTCCGAGCGCAGCGCTCCCCGGCCTCTCTGCGGGAAGCAGGCTGCCCCGGCCCTCTCCATCCCAGAGCCCTGTGCTATCCTTCCGGCCGAGTTTATGAGCACCTCAGATGGCTTCATTTGTTTGTTTGTGTACTTTCTTTATCCCACCTAAAAATAAGAGCTCCACGAGAGGAGGCCTCTGGCTTTTTCTTTGCAGCACCTCCAACCCCTAGAGTAGGGCGTGCACATTGCAGGAAAGAATGAATGGATGGAGGAACGAACGAGTGAATTGGTAAGAAACGGCCCATGCACATTGCTGAGAACGGCGAAGTCGTGTCCTGGCTTCTGAAGGAGGCTGTGATTGATTAGTAACACCCCTGCCCTGAGCACAGGACGCAGCAGCGGTCATACCGATGCCACGTTGGACACCCCGCACAGGTCCCGCGTTGGGCCGTGTCCCGAGCCCACTCTGCTATTACCCTCCTCCGCCCGCACACCCAGCGCCCCTCTGACAAGCCCCAGAAGATCGACAAGGCTGTGGCATTAGGGAGTCGAGCTGCTCCGCCCTAGCAAACCCCGCGTCCCACAGGAGTTTTCAGAGCCCCCAGCGTCAGCCCCTTCACGAAGAGCTGAGAGGGCAACAGGGATGCGTCCCCGCCTCGGGGGGTGTGCGCATTCTGCTAATTTGCCAGCAAAGCAGAAAAAGAAAGTGATTTACAGTCCAGGAGCCGAGCATCAAATCTGTCAGGGCCTGGGTGGCCTCGCCGCCCCCCTCAGGGGGCCCAGAAAGCCTTTGAGCAGTGGGGTTACGGGGCCAAGAGCACAAGGCCTCACCTTGTATTTTAAGGAAGGGACGTATTAACCAGCCCACGGATCTGGCAGCAACGCCGGTGGTGGGGGAGAGACTGCCCCCCAGAAGGTCACTTTGAGAGCAACTACAGTCACCTGGGGAATGAGTTCAAGAAGGCTTGTGCCTGGCGTGGTGAAGAATGCGAAGAAAGGAGGGCGAAGCGTGAAGCGAAACAAAAAGCAGCCGGCGAAACGTGGCACGCAAGAGGGAGGCGAACTCGGCGATGACTTGAATGTTCTGAGCTTTAGTTAAAAACATGAAGAGTAGCCACACGGGTACACCTCCGTGTAAGCGCTGGAGTTAATTTCGGATGAAAGAGGAATTCCGTGCTCACCATGTTGAACTTGAAGTGTCCGTTAGAGCTACAAGTAAGAATATTACGCAAATAGTTGGAGATACATCTCTGAAGCTCAGAAAGCAGACTGGAGGTTTGGACAAGAAATTTTGACACCGGGACAATGAAACAGACGAGGGTACTCAAAAAGAAACAGCTAAGGCCAAGGGCTGGATTTTGACCTGTGTCGCCATGTATGGGGGTAAGCCGGGTGGAAGGAGACAAAAAAACCACCAAACAAAAGAACCCAAGGAGAGCGCCGGTAGTCCCAGGATAGCGTGCTTCTCCCGCTAAGGAGATGAGCGTTTTGAAAAGGAGGGATGATCACCCGGGATGAGAAAAGATAAGCAGCTTAGAAATTAGGTCATTGGGTGATGGTGGAGACAGATTTTTGGAATTGTAATGGGGGCCTAAGCAGATTGCAGCGTCAGGCATTGGTGGGAACCTGTGCCAGGCGAGAAAACACGGGCCCCTGACGTGTCCTTCTGAGGAGCTGGCCCGCAGAAGGGGTGAGAAAGGATGGTACCCGAGGGTCTGGCACAGCTCAGAGAAAACGTTTCAAGATGAGGAACTCT